GAGCTGGCTGCTGGCCATTGCAGGGCTATGACTAACTCCTGGTGTCACGGGCTGATTGAGTGTGCGTGGAGGTGAGAGGGCTTACTGGGCCACATGACTGTCAGCCTGTAACAGGACTGCATGCCACACTCAGAGCTCTCCTTTAGCTTCGCTCCCGCTAGAGAGGCACCTCCAGAAATCAATTGGAGATGCGATGTGAACAGCAGGAGGTGGAGACACATGGGGGGGAGGTGCTTATCTACCGTCACCTGGCTCCTGTGACTTTATGTGTGGCCATGAAATGTTCCCTAGTTGGTTTTCTACGCCTAATGTTTCAGAAACAAATACCTGGAAGGCAGGTCCACACTGAGAGAATGAACTTCATTCACAAATGGTGCATTACCCAAGGTTATTACAGTAAACTAATACTAAACTAAAAACTTTAACTGTGTGAAAAAACATTTTTTGTTTTCAGAGATAAAAATAAAAACTAGACCTAAGAAAAAAACAAAAAAAAGGAAAGATAACTTAAATCATATTGTGTACTTACAAATCTAACTAATATAAACTAAAATATACAGAAAATGTCCTCAGTTTTAGTCTTTGTCAATGTCGTCAAATTTGTCACCACAAAATAATAAGTATGAGTAAGCACTGGTCCGTATTAGGGCTGGGTAATATGACCAAAATCTCATATCACGGTATAGGTCATTTCATATCCCAATAACGATACATATCACGTAGGGCCATAACGGTACATGTATTTGTGTCGAACCGTTCAGTACACGACTTTTGGTTTGGCACGACCCTGTACCGAATTATTGGGCGCAGGATATTATTTTATTTTATTTTGTTTTATTTTAATTCCATTTTTGCGAGCCGAACCATTTAAAATATCTAGTTCCCCGACGGACATAATTGAGTGACGGACCGAGTCCGACCGTAAATCTCCACTTTCACTTTGTGCAGCGCATTCTCGCATTTTGACAACATGGCAAGTGAGCCTGACTAACCTGAAGACCCACCCGCAAACCTTAAGTCCTCCGTTTGGGAACACTTTGGTTTCAGGGTAAAATACTAAGATGGAAATAAACAAGCTGACAAGACAAAAGCAGTGTGCCGACACTGCAAAACAGCGGTCGGGTATGTATTTGGAAACATGTCTAACATGCTAACGCATCTAAAGCGACACCACCCGAGTTTGAACGTTAACCGGCACGACTAGAAAAAGCAATCTGGTGCAAACTACGATATCGTCGTCGTTTAAAAAGAAAGAGCGTTTCCCTGACCATCGCACTAAAGAAATAACCAACGCCATTGGAGTTGAGTAAAATTGTTTAAGCTGCACTTTAGATATAAGCATGTTCTGTTTACTGCACTTTAACAAAGTGGGAAAGCTAAGTAAGTTCCTAGTAAAACTGAATCTGAGCAGGCTTTAAAGCTGACCAGCTGCACTATACTTTTTATTTTAATTGAGTAAAACTGTTAAAGCAGAAATTTATATTTATATTTTTCATTCAAATAATGTGTTTAAAAAAAAAACAGCAGGATTTTATTTTTCACTTTTATATTTCTGTTTTCATTCAAACAGTGTGAAAAAGCAGGATTTTATATATATTTGTTTCATTCAAAAATTGTGTAAAAAAGAGTTAACTGCTGTGGTAGTATGTTTTAATAAGGTTACCAATAAGTAAAAGATATTTAATAGTTGTCTATTTTTTTCAATACTGTACTAAAAAAAAAAAAAAACATGACTTGTGTACCGAGGTACGTACCGAACCGAGATTTTTGTGTACCATTACACCCCTAATATCACGATATATCACATTTTAATCCAATGAATAGAAAGTTGCTCCGCTCAACACTGAGGCTGTACTCCACACCACCTGATTTGGTCTGAATATTGTCGCCATCTCGCTGCTTGTCTGCTCTTTCTCAGCGCTGCGGGGCTGAGCCAGCACAGCAGAGACAGACAGCAGTGGAGTTATATAAACTCGTTATTTTACTGTAAGTACCGTAAAAGCTTCGCGAAATAAAAAGCCAAGAAGAGTAATTTATCAATGTGATCCGTGCAAAAGATGGACAGACTCCAAATGACGGAAAATATTGCCGTAAAAAGTGTAATTTGCGTCACAACGCTATAAACAATAGAGCAAAATATGAAACCATAGACAATTTACTCTTGTCACACGATACATATCTAAAAGTTCTGTATTTGTATTGTAATACAAAAAAATCCCTCAAACTAATACTGAGACTAACAAAAACTAAACAATTTGAATTGAAAACAAAAATTAAAATTGAAATGAAAATAAAAGCTAATATAAAAAATACAAAACTATAATAACTCTGACATTACCTTACCTTTTAAAACTATAGATGTACCTTTTTAATATCATTATTGATACCATAAACAAGATATGGCAAATTAATTTACATAGAACATTTCAAGCATAAAGGCAATCCAAAATCATTTTTAGAGATAGGAACCATTTTATAACAAATTATGATGATAAAGTAGTTTAAATAAAGAATTTAAAAAGATAGAAATGATGGAAGTGCAAGGTGAATAATGATGAAAGCTAATTCTTTTAACCTGGATTCAAATCAAAGTAGTAGTTAGACTCAGGGATTTTTGGTCTTACACCGCAGAGATTTATGAAGAAACAAGCAGCTGTACATTTACTGCATGATTGATGGAAAAGATTGGTAGGTTTCAGTAGAAAATGGATATCGCTTTACATCACAAGACATGAACAAACTGACGTATGTTGAAGGTTGTTTGGGCAGTGGCAGATGATGTATGAAGCAGTGATAATAAGCCAGGTGGAAAATGCTCATTTTTATTCTCTTTAGCCACTCTGTTGTAAGTTATCACAATTACTTTGACGTTGTGTATGTTATAAAACAGTTGCAGTACGTGGGTTTCTAAACTACATTATATACTGTGCAAGGTCAAACAATCTTAACAATGCTACCTTCTCAACATCAATCTATTATAGATGGATAAAATGTAGAGAAATGATCCTCACGGTGTATTTATTTTGTTTACAGTGGTAGAATAATACAGAAGACATTGTGGAGTGAATGGTTTGTGGGAGAGAGGAATAAAGGTGGTTGGATTAGGGAGGGGCTAAATAAAAGGATCATTTCAGGGTTTGGCCCCAAGCTGACCCAAAACTGTCGCAATATCCCATCCCAACAGCCCCTTGTTAAACTGCAGCTAAACTCTGCCTTGTTGGCAGACATGGAGGGTAGAGTTTGGCATTGAACAAGAACATAATAAGGCAGTTCAGGGAAATCAGCCAAACATGAAGGGGAGATGGTTTAAACCAACACGCATGTTACAGTATAGCCTCTCAGTCAAAGTCATTGGCCAGTGGAAAGAAGCTGGCAACTTCTTCTGTTGTCTACACAATCCCCAGGCCAAACACACTATATGGGAATTAAACTGAGGGAGAATGTTCCTGTTTGAGTATCACCTTGTCCAGAGTACAGAACCTGCCCAATATGGATTACAGGTCTAACACTGACCCCTGTTTTTAAATATTGACTAAGACTGAACACACACTCCAGCCCGTTATGGAGCTTCATTGTGTTTGCTGTTGTCCTTGTCTGAATAAATGGAGAACATATGTGACCGGGACAAGCTGGGAAACCGATATGAGTCCTTCATTTATGTAGCCGATGCTATGGAAAATAGAGAACTGACTGTGCCATCAGTTATATTTAAAATGAAAATTATATTAGTACCACTGACTTGCTGGAGGATTCTCTACTCAGTTCAACCAACATATTTGTATGTATTATTATTTTTGTATGATTCTTGTAGTTTTACTGATCAAATAGCTGCAGCGCACTCCTTCTATCTTTTTTTTTTTTTTAGGTGAGATTATGCAATTTTTTAGTCAGACATGCAGGTTAGGTTAACTGACGACTCTAAATTGGCCAGAGGTGTGAATGTGAGCATGAATGGCTGTCTGTCACTATATGTCTAGCGACATTTCCAGGCCCAGGGTGTACCCCGCCTCTCGCACAATGTCAGGTGGAATTGGCTCCAGCCCCTGTACAACTTATCCTGTCTTATCCTGCAACCACCCCTTGAAGCCACAGTGTCCGTTGTTCTGCAAAAGTTAAAGAAGTTACAACTTTTATACAACTTTAAAACAGTTCTACAGAAGGATTCTCATGTAAAAGCTGATGCGTATAGCCAGGAGATGAATTGACCAACCAAGGACACAAACTGGCCTATGGCCTGGTGCCCATGCATCTCTGTCAGCCTGTTGACAGCTCTAAGTCTGTCTGTTCACACCTGGCAATAGAGTATATCTCTAATGATATATATATATATATATATATAATTTCCCTGCTCTACATGCAAATAAACCATTACCATAATTAGGAGCCTACTGCTGCGGGAGTGTGAGCTCCGCACAGGAGACAGTTGGTGACAGTCTGCCCACATGCAGACACAGTTGCAGTGTTTACTATTAGAATTACACAGCTACATGCTACATTACCTAGAGGTTATTGACAGATTAACAGTAGATTTGAGAGTTGTAAGGATTGTTTAACAGATGCTGTTGTGTTAGCTCATGCTAACTAGGCAGCCGTTGAACTGACTTCTTGCCGGTAGACAGAGATGATCCTTCAGTGCTGCCTCTGACTTGTGTAACGGCAGCAACAGAAAGTTTTCTTGTTGATGTCAACTGAGTAGGCTGTCATTCACTGTGGCCCAGAAGACATTAGCATATGCAGTGCTGAAAGAATGTGGCCATATGTGGCCCGGACCACCTCCAGATATGGTCTTGAATGATCAGATCTCAAGACGTATTAAGGGTGCATTGCGTGTATACAGACATGTATTTGTGATCCAGTCACCCAAAACACATTTTAATAGCAGGTATGATAAGGCTTGATGTTGTACCACCACCTCATCATAATTTGTGTAGTAGGATTGTTGTCATCTTTACTGTCACTTATTGTTCTTAATTTCATCCCTCTCTGTTGTCTTTTCACAGCGTTCACCATGATGATCATCTTGGCTCTTATCCGCATCAGCAAAGGTACCGGCGAGGGCCACCCACCAGCCGCTTCCTTGTCTGGAGTGCCCAACCTGTTTGGGGTGTGCGTCTACTCCTTTATGTGTCAGCACTCCCTGCCCTCCCTGGTGACGCCCATCTCTGACAAGAAACGAGTTGGCACCCTGGTATTGCTGGACTACGTCCTGATCCTGGGCTTCTACGTTCTTCTCTCATTCACTGCCATTTTCTGCTTTGACAGCTCACTGCTACATGACATGTACACCCTGAACTTCACTGATAACTGCAATGTGTTAGATATTCCAGTCCTGCGCTACTTCCTGGGCCTCTTTCCAGTTTTCACCATCAGCACCAACTTCCCCATCATTGCCGTCACACTCCGCAACAACTGGAAGACCCTGTTTCACCGAGACGGAGGCACCTACCCATGGGTGGTGGACCGTATTGTGTTTCCCCTCATCACTCTGGTGCCCCCAATCGTTGTGGCCTTCTGCACCCACAACTTGGAGTCCCTGGTGGGTATTACAGGAGCCTATGCAGGCACAGGGATCCAGTATATTGTCCCAGCCTTCCTTGTGTACTACGGTCGACGCCATCTGGAGCCAGTGGTGGGGAGGGATGCCATCAACAAGCACCGGTCTCCCTTCCGACACGCCTTTTGGGTGTGGTTTGTTTTGTTGTGGGCTGCTTCCTGCCTTATGTTTGTCACAGCCAACATCATCCTAACTGACACCAAGAAATGAAGAACTCACTGTTCCAAGAACTTTCTAGAAAAATGTAAACATGTTTGGCCAGTCTCTTTGTTCTTGTACACGAGGCCTTACTTGCTGCTGGTTGGACAGTGTGCCTTTTTATGGGACTTTGGTTGCATATGTTAAATGTAATTAAGAGTAATTTATCAAATTTGTTTAAAAAGGGACCAAATGTCAAGTGTTTTTGTTCCATCAACAAAGCTGGAACAGTGCATGGTAACAATGAAGGGAAATTTAAAAGGGTCATTTATTAAAAGGATGTTTTGTCATCAAACACCAGATAGTCTGAGGTTTTCACAAGGATTTGCACAAATACAGCTTTTTAAAATATATCTTAAGAGTTCAGTGGGCCTCAAACAACTTCATACAAAGAGTCATATGGACATGTACAATGTGCGTAACGTTGGCTTGCTTGTCAGATTTATAGTTTTGAAAACACTGTCAGGCATAACCCTCATTTCCAACGCTGGAAAGGTTGGGGGTCTGGGTGTCGGACGCTGTTCAAACAGTTTGTTTGAAGCAGACTGACGCCTTTGATGTTCTGTTGTTCATCTGCTTAATTAATTTAGTATACACCATTCAAATTCCAAACTAAAAAAAAGGTAGGGTGTTAAGATGCGGAAGGATCCTCTGGACCTTCAGGGCAGAAAGTTCCAATAAAGATATATTAAAGCAATTGAAAGAGCAGAGCAGTGACAAGAAGAAGAGCCTGTCACACTCAGGCTAGTGTTCTGTTGCTAAACTGCTTGGCGTCTACACAGCTTGATAATGAGATTGGAACAGAAACCAACAGAAGAAGACAAACGAAGGAATCAGGGACGATCATTCTTTCGTGGCTGACATGTATCCATTCCTCAGTGGTGGCTGCCTCCGATCTCCTCGTCCCCTTGTGAACAATGAAACTCTGTCAGTGACAGATCCGCTGACAGATAGGCTTCCAGGAAGAACTCCATCTCTGTTTATCACGGTGCACTCGCGCCTGTAGTTCACACGCAGGGCATGTCTCCCGTCTTTTACTGCTCAGCACCCATTCATGACTCTGTCAGCCTTGTGCTGTATCTATCACACAGCCCAACACCTGACAGGATAATAGTGATCTACAGTGCTTCAGCTGCGGCTATGGGCAAGACATCATTGACCAAAAGTGAAGGGTGGTCAGCCAAATGTGACTACAGAGCTTCATACACTAACCACTGTACTGTAGTGTAGTAACGCTGATTTCGCTGACACCTGGCAGCTCCCTCTCTGAGTTGTGCCTTTGTTAATTGACTTCATTATTGCCCTTTATCGTCTGCCTTCTCAGTGAAATACTTGTGAAATGTCAATTTATGCTACGGTCACAGAAAATACTAATTTCTCATCGGCAGGTAACTTAAACACAGTTCAAGTCAACAGTTGAATCAAATGCTGTGTCTAGTATTCCTTTTCATTTTCTTACCTGTTTTTTCAAAATATATTTTTATTTGAGTCTTCAACTATAATTGTAAAATGTATGCTTTGTTTCGTGCCACCAAAAATACCCACCAGGGATAGAAAACAAATGTAGATCCCAAATAATTTTTGCAAAAGAAAAAAAAAACTCAGTCAACTCATGCTAGTTAAACAGACTTAATAAGAGTTAAACGTTCTGAAACCAAACTTGTTTGTATGAATATGGATTTAAATTGATGAATGTGGATAGTATGAGTGCAATAACACGGTCAGGTGGTTGGAAAAAGAAAATAATTGACACAGTGGAAGAAACACCACTTTGTAAAGCATTTTTATTTCCACTTTGTCCATAATATCCTTTTATCTATATAGTTTCTCCTCAAAGTCTTTTCGTTGTCTTAAAGGGACAGTTACGGCCTTTTTCATCTTAACTGTAGTGCTATCTATCAATCTAGATTGTTTTGGTGTGAGTAGAAATGTCTGTCTTCTCTGTAATATATAACCAAGATGTTACTCTCCTTGTAGTGTTAAAGTGCCCCAAAAAATTCCAAAAATTCAACAGCAATGTCTCTTTCTAGAAATCATAACCCGGTTATTTAAGATAATCCATAGACCGTATTGTGAGCAGTTTCACGTAGGAACTATTTTCTTTCTACCAAACTACACCCGCCAACCAAATCACCTTCTGCATGGTGATTTGGTTGGTTTGGTCTGTGGATTATCTTAAGTAACCGGGTCATGATTTCTAGAAAGAGACATTGCTGTTGTTTTTCAAATGTTTGTTTGTTTGTTTTTGGCACTTGGAGCACCACAAGCCGAGTGCCATTTAGGTCCATTATATTGGAGAGAAGACAGACATCTCTACAGCTGATACCTGCAACACACACCAACACACTCTAAAATGATCTAAATTGATAAAACAGCACTACAGGTAAGAGTGAAAATAAGTATTTTTTAATTATTAGGTGAACTGTCCCTTTAAAGGTTGTGACACAGCATTTCTGAGCCTATTTGATTGTTGACAGTTGACATAACCTGTCCAGCACAAACAACCGTTTTTGTATGTGTATCCTCTGAAAGCATCAGATCATAAACCAAAAATTATACATCAAGATGCAAACACATTTTCTGTTTGAGGTTACTTTAAGTTATCAAACTTACAATCAAAGAGTACATATTTTAAAAGTTCTCAAAAGCAAGTGGACTCATAAGAGACACATTTAGAAAGAATGGTCACAATTGAAGCAGCTGAGGCTGAGTTATCTACCCTCAAGCTCCAAAACACTGGATACTACATATCCCACGATGCAATCATCTTTTCCTCAGGTCAAATATAGTCAATAATTATTACGACCGTCACCAGGCTCCGCTTTGAAAGCACATCCCATGTCCCTTATATAGCTAAATTGATGCTGTTACCACAAAGAAAATTATCAGTAAAGGGGACACGCAGTCATCAACACTGCAACACCACTGGTTTCACACATTTGTATTTCAGTGACACTACAGTTGTGCTCCATTAAAATGCAAACCCAGTATTGGGGTGTACAGTAGTTCAGTGAGTTGTGGGGCAGTTAGAGAGGCTGTGCGGCTTTTTCATCAACTGCTGTAATGCAGTTTAAATTGAAAGCTAATGTGCTGTGACTTGTGTGTTGTTAAGACACCGTAAACTGTAAAATTCCTACACAGGCATCGTAGCATTGTTGTAGCACTGTTGAAGGTTACAGAGGTGCTGCTGTGGGTTTATTGTCACCAGGCCACCTCTGTCTTCACCAAACTGCAGCCAGAATTTGCATCTGAGTGTTCAGCTGGACCAAATATGGACACGACAGGTTCTCACAGCTTTGAGATCATCCTAAAACTTAAGTTATTGCAAAACACTGCAGAGCTTCTGTCTGTCTGTACCTGTCAGCTTTTATCTAATCAGGATGGAATCTATAAAAGTCCCTGCACGCAGAGATCCTGAAAACGTCATTATATGTTATATATGTTTGCCTTCCCACTTTTGTGCCCTTCATTGCTTTGATGTGCAGCTCCTCTTTTGAGCGTCAAGCGCCATCGAAGAAGATGAAGAGTTTGATGCTTGCCACATCACCTCGGTCGTAATTAAAACACATTTATGGGAGCATTAACTAGCGTCCTGACTTTATCTTTCTGTCTTGTACATGTTCCTCTGTCCAGCACCTGATATTTATCGTCTGGATGTGCGTGCTTTTGTAAACCTTTTCCCTCTCCTTACCTGAAGTGGAACATTTGAATGAAGAGTACAAAAACACTTTAACCTTGGTTAGATATTTATAAATCAGTCTGGAGACAAAGATGTGACTGTATGAGTGTGTTTGTGTGTCTGTGTGAGTGAATGACTAGGTGTAAAATGTGGTTCTCATGACTTGATGGGAGTTGTGAAATGTGCCTTTTTATATGGGCTTTATTTTCTTGCCCTAAACTTTCTGACTCTGCTGTTTTTTTCCTCAGCTTGCCAGACAAACATCTGCATGTAAGCCATTTTGTCTGACTGACAATCAGTGTTTCAGTGTCTAATCCTTGGTTTTCTTTTCTTGTCTCGTCTTTAATTTCTGTTCTTCTGTTGTTTTTGTTGGTCGCCCCTAGGTTTACTGCATTTCTGAGAATTTGATTTTCCTATTTTTCCTTCATGTTCCTGGTATTTGTTTACAATAATTTGGCGAGCCTGTGATTCTATCATTTGTATGGATGTTTACCGCTTTAATGGATGCTCTGTTTGATTTTTACAATTGACAAAGAAAATAAAGGCTTTATGTTCATCTCAACTTCATGAACCTCAATTACTTAAAAGGAAAGTGGGTTTTCTTACAAACAGGGTCTTCTTTTGTAGTTTTGCCCTCATGACTCTTTTATAACACTTTCTCAGTGGCGTTGGTGTCAAGAATTTGGCCACAGGGACTCTAAAACATTTCAAACAAGTCGAGTTATCTGCTGTCAGAATTACTTATGTCACTGTGAAAACTTTTTTTATGAGCACATTTATGAACTCAGTACTTCCTTTATAATATGAAATTGCATTGCATAGCCAATATATGGCCAGATGTCTGTGTTCCTGGTTAGGCACCTTACTGTGGCTTCAGTGAAGGGAACATAATGACATTTTAGACAATAGTGTTCTTCCAACTTTGTTTAAACAGTCTGTGTTTGTCCCTTTCCTGGCTCAACATGACAATGCCCCCACGCTCAAAACAGCTCCATAAAGAAATCATCTTCCCAGTTTGGTGTGGAGAAACAAATGCTCTTGCAGACAGGTTTCAACATCCTCATCAAGCCTGAAACCAGAAGAGTGGAGGCTATTACAGCAGATTAATGTATGTGTTATCAGAATGACATGTTGAACGTTCACATAGATGGGTGTAATGTTCAGATGTTCACAGTAGGTTTAGTCTGCAGGGATGATCACTTAAAATACTCTTTGTGTATAGTGATACAGTATATGTCTCCTTCTAGAACCCAGTGACAAAGAGATTGCAATCTGTTTAAACTACATTTTGCATCAGCAATGCAACTAACCGTTATTACAGTATGGTGAAGGTAAAAACGTTCTTAAAAAAAGAGACAGCTCATGGTTTGTTGTATTAATACCTCCATGAAGAAGGTTATGCTTTGGCTTTGGTTTGTTTGTTTGATTGATTTACTGTATGTAAAAACCACTGGCTCCATTCTCATGAAACTTGGTGGAAGGGTGTAAGATGGGCCGTGGAAGAACCCATGAAATTTTGGATAGGATCCGAATCACAGGACGGATACACAAATTATTTTTCCCTTTTGGTAACACTAGGGGAAAGGGTCTTGGAAGTTGAGGTCTTCATGTATCCA